TTATTATCTGAATGAAAATAGATTCAGGTGACATCGTAGGTCATAGTTGTCATTGATTCCAAATATATTCATTCTCAAAACCCTCATCAACAAGGGTAGCATCTGTTGGAAAGAAAATCATCCCTGTTTTTTTGTTGTATGCTCATTATTTCTTCATTTAAGTTCTGTCACTACTGCAGTATCATACTTACAGTATAAAGCTGCCTTCCTTTTTCATCAAAACGTTATCACTGTTGAAATTTCATTTCTACATAGTCAGCTTGCTGCCTTTGGCTAGCAGCTGAATATGCTCAGAAGGACATGTCATTTAAATGTTGAGTGAAAATAGCTTTGGACATTATTTCTTTCCACTCTGGTCCTATTCAAGGTAGCAGGACACCTTGGTATATAGCAACAATAGAACCTAGGGCATTGAGATTTCCTATATCAGCAAAGTGCTATTTGATGCTTTGAACCAGCTACAGCTTCAAATGCCTTCTCTGCTTTCAGCATATCTGATATTTGCTTGCTCTTCTGCATCCGGTACAGGGAAAACTTGGAAACCATAAAATTCTTTAATATTAGTTTGTGACTTGTTAAAATAGATGTAGATGCAGCAATCCCTCTTCTGGGTATATATCTTCTTTTGTCTTAATTCTGGAGATTGCCATCATAATTTTTAAGCAGCTCAGAAGTTGTCTTATTATATCCATGGCAGCTAGTAGTATAAATTGCTTTCTTTTTTTTTCCAGGAAGTGCTTCCAGACTGCACATTTTTATTTAGAGGACAGCACTTCCCCTCGAGTAATATCCACACCTCCAACACCTATCTTTCCAATTTCAGGTAATAGCTTAAAGTGTGACCGTGAGTAGCTGGTAGATGTTGAATGAAAAGCACATTGTTGGAAGGTTTGCTTTTATTGGAGTACTTTGCAAATGACTATAATGTAGATTAGTACATATTTGTATGGCACAAAATATTCATTACATCATGTATCAGGCACCAGGGTTTATGTCCTGTTCTCATTAATTTTAAACATTCATAACCATTCAGATGATATGTCAAAATAATTTATAATAGTTCAGGTATAGCATGTTTTAAAAAATAAACATTTATAGCAAAAAAATGTTAGTTAAGAATAATGCTTTTACTCACTTCCATTACTTTAGTGGAAATCTAAGCAACAAATGTCAGACTAAATTGATGCAGTAAATGTAAATAGGAGAAAAACGACAAAAATAAGAATAAAGTCTCGTTCCTTTCTGATCACTTGAGTTTATGTGAGAAAAGGTTTGTTAACTGCATTAGAAAAAAATATGAAATAGTGGTAATGGCGAAAAAATCATAAACACAAAGAATGTATGATTGCTTGAAACACTTTGTCTGAAATGTTGGAATAGTTGAATATTTGGGAAAATTTTGGCTGTTTTTATCAGAATTTACCTAGATAACAATATTCAAAAATTAGCCATGGTCATTTTGATTGAGACACCCCCTGACCCTAGAGTTCACACTGTTAAGATTACAGCCACTTAATTTTTTATAACATCTCAGAATGAAAAATGGCAACAAAA